CGGCTGGAGCGCAGGTGGAGGAAATCCCGCTGGGAGTCCGATCGAACACGACTTAGAGCCCATTATCGGGCCAATTTCCTGGCAATGCGGCTGGGGAAACAGCAATATTTCTCCAGCTGTATTGCTTCCTCAGAATGTTGTCCAGCAGAGCTGTTTTGGGTGGTCTGGGATCTTCTTCAACCGGGAAATCTGGTGGAGGTCCCGGACTGCTCATCAGCTCACTGTGATGAGTTTGCCATTCATTTTGAGGGGGAAATTGCTCAGATTTGCAGTGGTTGGACACATCCATTACTGCAGAATCAGAGGATGTGTCCAGTGCGCCGTGCTTAGGTCAAGTATTAATGGATGAGTTTCAATTTTTGAGACCTGAGGATGTGGACAGGGTGCTTGGATCTGTCCATTCTACCACCACTCCGCTCGACCCTTGCCCATCTTGGCTAATTGGAAGATCTGACAAGGGGGTTTGCACCTGGGTCCAGGAGGCCGTGAGAGAGGGAGTGGTCCCTACCGCCTTGAAAGAGGCGCTAATTCGACCACTCCTTAAAAAGCCTAACCTGGACCCAAGGCTGGTGGTTAACTACCGACCAGTGGCGAACCTCCCTTATTTGGGCAAAGTGTTGGAGCAGGTTGTGGCTGGGCAACTCCAGGCGCTGCTGGATGAAACGGATTTTCTGGATCCATTTCAATCGGGTTTCAGGCCGGGTTTTGGTACGGAGACTGCCTTGGTCACCCTGTACGATGACCTTTACCAGGAGACAGACAGGGGGATTGAGACCCTGTTGATACTCTTGGACCTCTCAGCGGCTTTCGACACCATCAACCATGGTGTCCTTCTGGATAGGCTGGCTGGGCTGGGAGTTGGGGGCACTGCTTTACGGTGGTTCTGCTCCTTCCTGGCTGACTGTGTCCAGAGGGTGGTGCTGGGGGACAGTTGCTCTGCCCCATGTCATTTACATCATGGAGTTCCTCAGGACTCGATACTGTCCCCCATGCTGTTTAACATCTACATTTCATCTCTTGTACCAGTCATTTACCATTCCATTCTCCCCTCCTGACAACCACCCTATAAAGAAACATAAGATTGCTTTTTCTCTGGAGACAGAGAAGGCACACACAAAGTGTATCAGAGAAGATGGGATAAAATTTAGTCTACACACTAGGTGAGCCAACTGCAGTAAAACCAATAGTATTATCCACTGACTGGAGGAAAATATTGTCTCGGCTCAAGTGATAACTTTATTAGACCACTAAAAGATCACTAACAGGTAGTTTCCAACTACCTGTTAGTGATATTTTAGTGGTCTAATAAAGTTATCGCCCTTCTTTGCCTTCAGAGTCTACACAGGTGTGTCACCTTGTCAATGCCTTAAGAGTCACATTTCTTTCCTATGGAATCCCGGGATCTGTAGTTTTAAGAGGTAGTTATAATTCTCTACAAGAGAGCTACAATTTGAGACACTGGAACTCTCTAATAGTTAATTCCAAATACTTCACCAAACCATAAAACCCACAGCTCCAGAAGCTGAACCACTGCAATTAAATTAATAAACTAATAAAAATAAGTGGCATCAAACCACTTTAACTGTGTAGAGTACACTCTTAAGCCTAAATCCAACTGTTAGTCTCAACTAGAGTAGACCCATTGAATCAATCAGAAATGGGTAAGTCAACACTTGAATAAATGTCATTGATCCAATAGGTCTATGTTAGTTTAGACTTACACTGGATTTATGTCTCAGCCTTTACACTGCAACAGGTCTATTCACCTTAACAGTCTTCTTTGCATATTTGTCCAGTGCTGTGCCTTGAGACTTAAAAATTTTCACATTGGCCTTGAGCAGATCTTTCCGCTCCATACCTTCTTTCCTTGGCATGGAGCCTACCAGTATGGCTACATCAAGATCTTTGAATGCGACATCTTCTTTGTCAGTTGCAATTACCTCTATATGCAAAGAGAAAGAGATCACCCATTATATTTTAAATAATAATTTATGGCAAAATTTGGAATGGAAGAATTATGTTTGGCTGAAATATGCGAATTAATAGGTCTGCTATTATTTATATTCAAGTGCAAATCTATCATTCCATAGGCAAATGCTTCATATATACAGTGGTGCCTCGCTTACCGATCGCTCCGTTTAATGATGAAATCGCTTACCGATGAGGTTTTGGCCATCGCCAGAGCGATCGGTTAGCGATGGCCCCTACGGGGATAAATCGCTTTGCGATCATGGCAAAGCGACCCTTGCACGTCCGGGAGGAGGTGGGAGGATCCACCCGGAGGAGAGCAGAGCAGCGGTGCGCTGAGGGGGAGCCTCTCATCCCGGCCAAGGGATCTCGTGGAAGCCCACCCTCCATTGGGAGTCCCCACCACCACCACCGGCCGCTCTCTCCTCCGCCGGCTTCCCCCTTTCGCCTTCTAGCCTGGAGTCCGTCCTCCCCCCCTCCTCGCAAGGGGCACCTCTGCGGCAACTTGGGCTGTCAGGACACCCACAGGTACACATCCTGCCCCTCCGAGCTGGGGAGGGTCAAAGACTGTCCATCCCAACCCCCCATACAGCCACCTCCTTCCCCTGCCCTCCAAATGGCAGCTTTGCTCCGCGGCGGGGAAAGAAGCGCCGCCCCATACCACACACACACACACTCCCTTGCTGGCCGGCTTCATCAGCTGCAGGCTTTGCTTGCCTTTTTGGCCTGGTCAGGCTCTTCTTGTCGCCCATGGTCATGGACTGGTGGAGGCGAGCCCCCCCGCTTGCCTTGCCTTGCGCCCAAGGAGCAGAGAGGGCTACGGGGCTGACTTCTCAGACGAGCAAGCTCCAGTGGCGGCTGCTCCTGCTGCTGCTGCTCCGCCGCTGCCGGGCTCCTGCTCCAGACTAGGCAGCGCAGGGAGCGCGGTCCCACTCTTCTCTCCTCGCCTCCTCTGCCTTCCCTCTTTTTTTCCCTTCCCTTCCTTCTCGCTCTCTTCCAAGCCAGGCTCAAGCAGGCGGAGCTCAGGGCCCTCGGCGGCCAATCCCGGCCGTCTGGCCTTGGGCTCGCTTTTAAGCATCTGATCGGCGGTTTCAAAATGGACCCCCGCTGTTTTGCCTCACTTAAGAGGCATGGAAAATGGCCACCCCATGGAGGATCTTCGCTTAAGGTTAGTTTTGAAGCCCATAGAAACGTATTAAACATGTTTTAATGCATTTCTATGGGCTTTTAAAAATCACTTAACGATTAAATCACTTAGCGACGTTTTTTCCGAACGGATTAACGTCGTTAAGTGAGGCACCACTGTACTACACTATATACCACACATAAATTTGAAACTGCAGAAGTGATTTTTGCAATTTTCAGATTGTCTGCATGGAACTTGGTCATGTCCCTTTGATATACGGCCACAACGATCAGTTCTGCAATTTCTGATTTATGCTACATAGCCTGAACAGGATTCTGGACATAGTATTATAACTACACTGAAAAAAGGTTGCTTCCTTGCTTTTATTTAAAATTGACTTTATTTAAACTTTTTGTATACTGTAACAAATCACAACTCTCTTTCCTATCCAATTTTTCCCAAGGATACAGATATAGTTTAAAATATTTAGATATTATCTTTTATCTTATGGTACAAAGATAATTTACAATCTATAATTAAAACCTTCAAATAACAGTAAAATCTGCAAAAAAAGGGGGGGGAAGATACATGAAACAGATAGCTATACCACTAAACATCAGAAATCATTTTAATGAATCAGCGGTTGGCATAGCCAAGTAAGTATTCACCACTGAAATTAACTATGCTACATTGGAGTAAATACCGTTAGGTCTGCATGAAATAAGTTTTGACTCAATAAGCCTTTTTATTGGTACTAATACAGTGCTGCCTCGCTTAGCAACGTTAATCCGTTCCAGGAAAAACGTTGCTAAGGGATTTCGTCGCTAAGCGGTTTTAAAAAGCCCATAGAAACGCATTAAAACGTGTTTAATGTGTTCCTATGGGCTTAAAAACTGACCTTATGCGAAGATCCTCAATTTTGGGTCATTTTGGGTGCCTCTAAAGCGAGGCAAAACAGTGGGCAGCCATTTTGTTTACCTGGCAGCCATTTTGGAACCGCCGATCAGCTGGCCAAAAACGGGGGGCTTTGCGATGATCGCTTCTGCGCGATCATCGCAAAGCAATTTTCCCCCATAGGAAACATTGCAAAGTGATCGCTTTTGCGATCGCAAAAACAGCGTCGCAAAGCGATTTCGTCGCTCAGCGGAGTGATCGGTAAGTGAGGCACCACTGTACCTTATACAGCAAAACTTGTGTGAAAACATCCACTTTTTTTCACTGCTGTGGATTAAACCTTTTAAAAATAACTTCTGCTATTTGACTTTTAAACCTCATACTTCATTCCTTAGGGAGATGTTTCATTTACAAAATTATGGCCTGGTGTTCTAGCACGATGTTTATAAAGCTGAACACTGAACAAAACTGCTGCCCTGGGTCAGCGGTCTGATCTATGCACTTCAAACCTAAACCCTGGCTGACAGACTGTATCTTAATCTACTAGTGTATAAAAGCCTACTGGAATAGGCTATTACATGCCCTACGGAACTACCAAATTCATCTGGCTAGACTGGCTAGTAAGCAATAAATAAATTGGAAATACAGTAAAATCAGCCTACTATATATCTGCTTCTTTTTTACCCGTTAATAGGGGGAGGGCACAATCTTGCAATTCCATAAGGACACCATCCAGTACTGTCATCATGGGAGTGATATCCAGAAGCACAAGAACAAGAGGCTGCAAAACAATTAAGGACAGTATAAATTACTTAGGATAATATTTAGGTGGCAATATCAAGCAGGCCGCACTCAAGAACAGACCGAACAGATTCCTTTTGTCGTGTAGTTAGAACTATACCAATTACTACATTCATGAAGCACAATATACTTACAGTACTCAAGAGAAAATTAGACAACCATCTGTCAGATATAATTTGATATGGATCCCTGCATTGAAACTCTATGGCCTTATAAGTCCCTTCCAACTCCGTTAGTCTATGATTCTATACTAACTTGTCAGATTCTGCCTTAGTTTTGTACTGGACACACATGCAGCAAAAAAACAAAACAAAAAAAACCAAAAACAAAAACAAAAAAAAAGGACAGTCATGAGCACTTTAGTGCTACATAACAAAACCTTCTCCCTGCCAAAAAGGTTAATACTTTAAAGATGTGCAGTATGATCAGTGTCTTATTCTTGCTGCTGAGGTCTGATACCAAGTGCAAAATGACCTTTAGGCCTATCACTAAAACTCTGGGGCATGCCCCAATTTCTTTTCTCCATTACCTGATCTGCACCGAAGACATCACCCTTAGCAATGCTGTATAGCAGAGAATATGCAATCTGTCCAGCAGCACCTGTCACTAGGACTCGGATGGGTTTAGACTGCAAGAAAAACAATTTTTGCAGATTTCAGTGAACAGCATCAGATAACAATTCTTCACTTATGAAACACACATAGTACAATTTCTGCAAAAGGAACACTGATAAAGGTTAGCATTTGGCATATACTTTTCTAGGGCAGTTTTTACAAACCACCCCCTATTGTAGTCAACAGGATACATCCTGCTGGTTTCCAACAGGGAGCTGAACAGATTATCAGAAGTAATTACAGTCATTCTGTCCTGGTATAGCCAAGATTTGTTTTTCAAGAATTACAGATGGAATGAAAACCTTTAAAGTGGAAAGCTCCTACTTACCACCAGCAAGAGACTTCTCAAGAACTACAGTTGTAGAAGCAGACTAATTAGCAGAAAGACTTTTTAAAATTCAACGTTATCATACAATAGAGTCAGGCAGTTGAATTGAGGATGGATGGGTTGTGTGACATGTTAATTTCAGGTAAACTGGTCTTCTGCTTGTCCTGACACTGATACCAGAGAGAATGAAAGTGCCTTAGAACCTCTCAACAGTTACTGATGTTACTAATGATAGTAATGTTCTGGACTATCTAGCTGGACTGGATATTAGGGGCATTGTGCTGCAGTGGCTCTGATCTTTCCTATCCGGTCATGCCACAAAACTGATGCTAGGGGATCACTGTTCCACATCATAGCTGTTGGCACATGGTATCCCAGAGAGTTCTATTTAGCCCCCACCCTCCAATCTTATACAACACTATATGGAACCACTTGGAAAGGTCATTTGAAGCTTTGGGATGAGTTGTCACCAATATGCAGATAGGTTCCAGCAATACTGCTTCCTGTTATTGAACACCAAGAAAGCAGTCTATAATCTTCAATGCTCCCTAAGCGTAACAATGGGATGAACAAGCTTTTGAAATTAATTCCTGACAAGGTACAGGTACTGCTGGTTCACAGAAAATCTGATTAGAGGATTGGGAGAATATATTGAATCCCAAAGTTGCACAGCTGACTAAACTATAACTTTTCCTGAGTAGCTCTGACACAGCAAGTCATCCATGCTTTAGTTACACGGTGCCTTGGTTACTGTAAAAAGTTCTATGTTTCTGTGTCCTTGAAGAGTGTCCAGGAATTTCACCTGGTTCTATATACAGCAGCTAGGCTGCTAACTGGTATGTGATACTGAAATCACATTACCCCAGTACTGAAAAACGTGAACTGGCTGGTAATTTCCAATTCAATATGTTGATTTTAACCTTTAAAGCTCAAAATGGCTTGGGGCCTGGTAATCTAAGGAATTTCTAGTCTCATTATGAACTTGGCCAGATGTTTAGATCTTCAGGATAAGTCTTCTTCAGAATATCGACACCTTGTGGAGGCCTAACCAACAGACCATGAAATACAATATTAAACATTTACGCGTTTTATTGTTCACCTTATCTTTAATTTTGTTGCTATCCTGCTTTTACTACTATCCCTCAGTGGAAAAGCAGGAGAGAAATATACAGTAATGCATAAATAAAATTGATTCCAGACAAATGAGAGGAAATTGCAGAAGGAGATACCTAGTGAAATGCCTAACTAAAGTGACAGTAAGACAGGCAAATTACACGCTGCCCCAGAGAACATTCATGTATATATTTTTAAAAAGCGAATACAGTTAACTCTGTAACACAGATGAGTCAAGGCTGTTATCTGGAAAAATGCTATTCATGCTGATTTTAAGGCAGCATACAGGCATTTGATCAAAATGCAAACAATTTAGGTTTTCACTGCTCCTTTTCTATTTCAAAGGAGACATTTAATCTTAGTAACAGAGTTAGACTGAAAAGTTTAATCAAGAAAATTAAGAACGCTTATAGGCTACTTTCATTTACTAAGATCATAGTTCAGTTGACAACTTTGCAGGTTATATAATGTTGTATGACAAATGTTTGAAGCTAGTCCAACCTATAATTATCTTTATGATTCCCTTCTTTTATTAATTACTGGTCAAAATCTTGTTAATTAAATATACCTGCATAAGATTGATGATGACACTGGCAGGGGAGATTGGTGGTAATTAAAGAGTTCCTGCTTCGATGGGGAGTGGGGTGGGAATTGCATACACTCAGTCTTATTATGGGTAAGTGTCAGGACTGGAGAGGGAACTTTAATTACCACCAATCTCTTCAAACCTCCATGAAGCTATCAGTAGTAGCAGATTATTGGTAATTAAAGATTTCCTGCTTCAGATCAAGGGCCTGCACGGCTCACAATGAAACTGATAGTGAAGCTAGTTTCTGGTGAGTCAGGCAATCTTCTAGATCAGAGGTGTCCAAACTATGACCTGCCTTGCCTTTTTATCCGGCCCAGCGTGTGCGTGTGTGTGGCCGTGCGTGCAGATGTGTACACATACTGCACATGTGTCTTCCTTCGGCCCTCAAAAATGTGGAGCATATATGATATGGCCCTCCCGCTGAAAAGTTTGGAGACCCCTGTTCTAGACTGAAGCAGAAACTCTCCAATTACTGTTAACCTCCCCCTGCTAGTGAAACCATTGCCTTTATGCTAACATTATTTACTCAACAGCAGGGATTCCCAAACTGTGCACCGTGGCTCCATGGGGCATCCAAAATCTGAACCAGGGGTGTTGGGAAAAAGGGAGAGAACATAGAGCTCCTGTCAAATGAGAACTGGAAGTAGAGGCTGTGTGCCTGCCTCTCCTTGCCCCATCTCTATGACCCCCAGTGGAGGTGCTTGCCAGGTGGCCTTGTGAGTGTTGAGATCTTGCCACTGGTGACAGTAAGAGATCTGATGGCCCCTCCAAGCAAGGGGAGTCACGGCCTGTGGTCAGTAAATCAAGGGAGATGCGAATACAAAATGTTTGGGAACCACTGCTCAACAGGATGTCAATGACAAAAAGTTACAGGAAATGGAGTAGTCCCAATAGTGCTTGCATAAATCAAAGAACTATAAATTACTCCATATGACTGGGAAGAACAATTGCAGAGAATCTAGATAGGTTTATTATTGCCAATATTCGATTTATATATCCAAAAAGCTATTTTCAAACCAACATTAGAGAAACGGTGGATAAACATCTTCCATATTATAGAAGTACAATTATATTACATAATGATGGGAAAATGGGGAAACAGAAGCCACTCAGATAGTGGTACCTTGACTTATGAACTTAATCCGTATTGGAATGGCATTTGTACGTCGAAAAGTTTGTAAATTGAGGCAAACGTTTCCACAGGAATGCATTGAAAACCATTTAATCTGTACCTGCTGTTTTTTGTTCGTATGTTGAGGCCCTGTTCGCAGGTAGAGGCATTAGTTCCCATAGGAACTAATGCAAAGCCGGTTAATCTGTACTCTACCACTAGGGGGAGATTTTTTCTTCTTCTTTTGACCTAAGATGAATTTAGGTAAAAAAAAGGGCAGGAAAGGTTTTTTCGGGGGGGGGGTTCGTTTGTAAGTTGAGGCTCCATTCGTAAGTCGAAGCAACTTTTTCTGAATGGAGTCATTCATAACTCAAATCGTTCACAAGTGGAGATGTTCGTAAGTCAAGGTACCACTGTACATCACTGAATTACTGTATTATTTTATCATATATTTGAGAAGTGTTAAATTATACAAAGAGTAAGCTTGTACATTTGAAGAGTAAGCATATGATGATACAGAATAAACTGTGGATATTACTCAAAACAAGATAACTTTTGAACTGAAAATATGTTGCATTTTAATAATATTTAATGGAGAAAAGATAAATATTCATGAAGTGAATAAATTTCATATCAAAGGCAGATATTTAGAGTGATACCATCTAAAGTTCCAATTATGAAATAAAGCTTATTGTTATACAGTATTTGCACCAAGTAATAGTCATAAACTGAACTTCAGAACTTCTTTCATCAATGCTACTGTGTATTAACATGAACAAACTGGAAGGCTTTCCCTGCTTGTGGTGCTCTTTTCCCTGTGTTGAAAACACCATTATCCTATGTCAAAAGAAATGGAGAAAAGCCTCCCAATCCAGACTTGCTGACTCTGTAATCAGGTTGTGCAGTATTTGGGATACCCTCTTATCCCTCTTCTAACAAAACATAAGGAAAGGAAAGGTCTGGAAGTTAGAAACTAATTTGCAAAAAGTACTGTATATACTCGAGTATAAGCCTAGTTTTTCAGCACAATTTTTTGCTGAAAAAACACCCCCCTCAGCTTCTACTCTAGTTAGTGTCAAAATTACTTGTTCTCCTCTGCAGTGTGGGTGTTCTCCGGATTCATCTACGGGCGCCTGCAACCTCTGTGGGTGGTCTGATGACCCAGGTTAAGTACACTGCATTTCCACTTCCAGGACACTCCCATCCTCCTCCTCCTGCATATTCTATGTACCCACCTTCCTCCTCCACCCTCTGTCTCCCTCTATCTTGTTACTCAGCAGTAGAGCAGTAGATAAGTGCAGCATCCGGTATGAGTCCACCCTCCGCAGGCAGTGAAGTGTGTCTCGCAGCTCAGAAGGGCAGTATCTTCAAAAACATTTAACCTACTGATGCCTCAATTAATGTAATTTTACTGGTATCTATTTTTTATTCCTGCATATTCCACCCTCGGCTTATACTCGAGTCAATAGGTTTTCCCAGTTTTTTGTGGTAAAACTGGGTGCATCAGCTTATATTCGGGTCAGCTTATACTCAAGTATGTACGGTATATTAATTTAGACAACAAATCTGTAAGATAACTTCTTTAAATTTTGCAGATTTTGTTCTTTAGTGTGTCAAACTTGGTATTTGTAGCTATGGACACAGCATGAATTAGGGTAAATGGACATTGTTTTTTCCATGACTGGCTGAAAGCAAGCTACCTATGAGGAGTTTCCCACCTTCAACTCCACATCTCAGAAAAAAACTGGTAGCTTTAACATTTTGAAAGGCATGACTTTAGTAACTTTTTCATAGCCTGAGGGGAAAAAATAGTTAATAGAAAGCGAAGCATACTTGAATTCTATATAAGCACCCAATCTTCTTACTTCACAACTATCTTATGAAGACTGGCAGTAGAAAGTGATAATTATTTAGGCACTGTCCCATTTCTTTTGAAGCAGACCACATCCTAATGCTGAAGGCTTTCAAACAAATCTATCACAAACTATAAATTTCCTATCCATGCAAGTATATATAAATAGAATGTTTACTTATCATCATCGTTGTTGTTGTTGTTGTTATTGCATCAGTTTCCATAAACTGGAGTCTGCTTATTCTAGTACAGACCTTTGTCCTCAAAACCAGCAAGAAATAGAATGTTTACAAGGAAACCCTAAGCACCTCAGCTAAGATAAGAAGATACATGAATAATTGTGAGCCAATATGGAATAATGGCTAGACATGTGAGCTAAGCCCAGAGTTTAAATCTATACTTGGACATGAAACTCACAGGGTCACCTTGCAATAGGCAGATCCTATCATCTTGACCTAACTAACAAGACTTTTGTGAGAACAAAGTGGAGAAAAGAAAATTATGTGTACTACTGCTTGAAGATTTCATTATGGAATAGAGACGATAAACTCTAATTCTGTATTATCAGACAAGATACGGTAAGTTTTGTAAAGTGTCCAACGTATGAAGACTAGGCCCCAGTTTTATAGGATTTAAAAGAGTTTTGTACAGAGTATTTAGCTTAACCATTCAAGCTCCTCAAGAACTCAATATTCAGTGTAGAAGATATCAGGAAATTCTACAGACTCACACTGGGTTTTTGTCTCCACAGATATATACTTATTAACAGCAATATATGGATATGAGAAATACCGGCTGCTCAGTTATGACTGAAGCAATTCTAATTTGCCAGCTTCCCTTCCTCCTCCATTATATAATACTGCACATTCTTGGAAGCTCTATTAAAATCCCCTGGACTAATTACAACAATTGTTTTAGTGATCCTTATACCTTTTGGAGTCCTATAGATAAACACAAGCTTGATTTAAAAATACCTAGAAAGTCTTAGGTAAAGTACAAACTGAAGAGTGGACTGTGGTGTGTTATTACTGTCTAATTAAGCAAGCAGTTTTCATTTGAACAAAAAAACTGTTTAAAATTAAAATCTGATTTCTGAGACCAAATTAAAATGAAAATTCTTGCACAAAGGTCTAGAAGGCACTATGAACACATTGTGGCAGACCCAGTGGCTTGAGATTAAAGTACAGTAATCTAATATACATAAGATTAGCTTTATGGACCCATTTTAACTGGAACAGAATAAGAGTCCTGACAATGCTTGGACTCCACTTTGAGCTGCTGTATGACAACATAAGTTTTGTAAAGTGTCCAACGTGTGAAGACTAGGCCTCAGTTTTATAGGATTTAAAAGAGTTTTGTACAGAGTATTTATCTTAACCATTCAAGCTCCTCAAGAACTCAATATTCAGTGTAGAAGATATCAGGAAATTCTACAGACTCACACTGGGTTTTTGTCTCCACAGATATATACTTATTAACAGCAATATATGGATATGAGAAATACCGGCTGCTCAGTTATGACTGAAGCAATTCTAATTTGCAAGCTTCCCTTCCTCCTCCATTATATAATACTGCACATTCTTGGAAGCTCTATTAAAATCCCCTGGACTAATTACAACAATTGTTTTAGTGATCCTTATACCTTTTGGAGTCCTATAGACAAACACAAGCTTGATTTAAAAATATCTAGAAAGTCTTAGGTAAAGTACAAACTGAAGAGTGGACTGTGGTGTGTTATTACTGTCTAATTAAGCAAGCAGTTTTCATTTGAACAAAAAAACTGTTTAAAATTAAAATCTGATTTCTGAGACCAAATTAAAATGAAAATTCTTGCACAAAGGTCTAGAAGGCACTATGAACACATTGTGGCAGACCCAGTGGCTTGAGATTAAAGTACAGTAATCTAATATACATAAGATTAGCTTTATGGACCCATTTTAACTGGAACAGAATAAGAGTCCTGACAATGCTTGGACTCCACTTTGAGCTGCTGTATTAGTACTGTATAGAATATCAGGCTGCTAAGACTATACAAGCTAGTGATACAAGCAGCTGATCACAAAAAATATAAACTGCATAATAATGGCATCTGTTCTATCATGTTACAACCTCCAGAAACATCTGGATGTAGATCTGGAACAGGTAAAATTTCAGCACCACAATTGTGACACTATTATGGAAAATAATTGTTTGTGAAAAACAAAACAAAAAAGGGCATAATGAACAAACTGCAGCTGAAAACAGTGTTTCATGTTATTCTTTACTGCAGCTCTTTCTCCATAATCTCCCACAAATCATTTAATCCTGATGATGTCAAAACATAGGATTTATTTCCAAGTAAAACCAACTAGTTTAGCAAATTTAACCATTTGTAGTATTTTAGAGTATTCAAATCACCAATAATTTTTTCTGAGGAGGAAAAACCGAACATGCAGGCAGTGTTTTATATTGGGTACTTGCTCCTCCCTGAGTGAGGAAAAAACATCTGTATGGTCATATAATATTAAGCCAAAAACAAACAACTCCCATGATTTACACATTTGCAAATACTTGATCAATATGTAGTGGCAAGTGTGCCATGCCTTTCATTTTAAAGTGTTGTGTTCCAGCTTCTTGAAACTATACTCATGACACAAATTTGGAAATGAAATCTGCAGCTGCTTGAAGAGCACCTTGAAAAATCCTATGAGGAACATTCTAGTGATACCGCTGGATCACACACTGCAGCAGCTGCAGAAGCTAAGACAACAAGTGGAGTGTTGTGATCGGGCAAGCCTGCAACTCCTTTTGCAGTTGTCCCCTGAAGAATCATACCAAAATATCCTGGTTATTAAAGATCTTCTGTTCCATCCACCTTGAGTCAATGTGACCCATGCGCCTGCGCACGCGTACACACACACACTCTCTCACACATTCACTGGGGATCTATCAGTACCCTTGAAGTCACAGAAAAGAGGACGTTCTAGTTTTCAAATATCTTGCCCTGAAGCTCAGCAAAGAAGCGTGAGCTATGTCACCCCCTCCTCCCACCTGAGCTGTAAAGGCACAGAAGCTCAAGATGGCACTTGTACCACAACCTAGATAACTTTACCTTGAACCTGTCAATGGCCTGCAGGAATAAGCACTCACTGCAATACAAGGGAACCAGAAACACCTGGCTTTCTTTTTTTTGCTTATTCTGACTTCCGTGCATGAAAGACTTCACCTCTGTTCCTCCAAAGACTCTTGATCTCTAACGGTGGTGAGGTTCGGAACCTGACACCATCCACTGGCCTTTTTCAGCCAAAATACGTTTGCCCACACCCAAGCCCTCCTGAAGAGCCTTTCCCCCTTAGCGCATCTCCCGCCTTCCCTTTCTTCAAGGGCTGCCATGGCCTGTCACTGTCACTTTCGCCTGACAAAGCCAATACAGTACCTGTATTATTTGTGTGTGTGTGTGTGTGTGTGTGTGTGAGAGAGAGAGAGATACTGCAATGCTTTTACTAGACCTGGCTGGGGCCTGGCTCTGCAATCAGATCCACGCCAGTTCTGTGTGGATTCTGGGTGTCCGTTTCATCTTCTGAAAAGAAGCGATGAAAAACGATGCCACCAAAGGGAAAGAGCCCGGCCCCTCGGGACCCCCCCCTCGCTCCCCATTCAAGCGCTTGAGTCCCCCACCTCTCTTTTTAGCAGCTGGAGAATCCACACACACACACGCACGGAGGGACATCCACACCCCCTCACCCCACAGAAAAAAGGGAAACGACAAGCAGGAACAGCGCTGCTTGCTTACGGCCCTTTCCCTCCTTCCCTGGGGTCGGTCTTCTTCTTTGCCCGGGGGTGGGGGGTCGGAGAAGGAAGGGATGGATGTGCAACTTCTCTCTCCCGCTAGGTAGAAAAACGAGCGCCTCAGGTGTTTTTTTTTTCCTGCCCTTCCCCTTTGACTGCGGCTTGGTCCGAGGTCTCGCCAAAACGCTTCATTCCTCTCCCCCATCCCCCCATTCCCGAAAGGAAGAAGGGGACCCACAACGCCCGAGGGTGTAACACGACCACTTCGAGTTCAGCTTCACTAACCATGGCGATAACAGGAGACAAAAACCGGCTCGGCTCCTCGAGGTCACCTCTAACTAAGCCCAGCCACAGCGACCGCGGAGAGAAGGAGAACGCGCCCCCGAAGGCTATCAAAAGGGGGCGGAGACAAAACCACCGCCCCCTCGCGGCCGCCCTCTCCTTCTGCCATCTGGGAGTCGGAGTCCATCGCTGCGACAGCAGTGCAAGAGAGGAAGCGAAAACTAGGAGGGAAGAAACTACCGCTCCCAGAATCCTTTGGAGGCAACTGCGCATACGGATTGCTGCGTGTCCGTCCCTAGGGAAGGGGAAAGAACCCCCCCCCGACTCTACCGAAGATAAAGATTTGCTGCTAAATTTGACGTAGAAATCACGCGGTTCTTCCAGGGTGGCAGTTAATACGCTTGCGTAGAAAAGGATTAACGATTTTATTAGAAAGTAACTACTTTTCGTACAGTTTTGCGCTAATCCGTTAATGGTGGGGTTATCAATCTCAGGGCTTCTTTCACTTGCTGTAATAAAGCTGAGATTAAATTGAGGGTGCAACTACACAGCAGGAAGAGTGCAGATAGATCCGTTGTGAATTCACACCTTGGAAGTCATTTTTCCCTGGGTAAATTCACTTTAGTCGACCAGACAGTCAGCAGAGCTAGAGGGAAAGGAAGAAATTGCTAACCAGCCCTTGTTCCCAGCTGGTTAAGGCAGCTTCTGCTGTAGCCATCCAACTTTGTGGGAAGCACAACTATAGCAGAAGCTGCTTTAAATTGCAAACAAGAGCTGATTACTGATGGAGGACACAGAATGATTAATATATGCAAAGATCCATTTATTACTCAATTACTGTAATTATTGTATGCAGGATGCATCTCTGAGATTCCCTGACCAGTCAACACAGCATTCTGTAAGCTATTACTGTACTGATAGGACGGGGCAGCTAGCATAAGGACCATATTTCTTAGGGTGGTAGGTGGGCAGTATGGGCTTGCTCTACCTCAAAATTGAAGTGCAACGTCAAGTAATTAACAGCTCAATAGTCAAGTTCCTCTGTTAAGGAAACATTGTTACTTTGCTTATTATCTGTATCCTGCCCTGGTCATGACTCTCATCTAAATAGAGAAGGTATGTTTTTGCTCTCTTTGTGCTTGAAGACATGGATTTTGATCTACAAAACTTCACGCTGAAATAAGCTAGTTTGCCTTTTTTTCCCTCTGCTTTCCCCCTTTAATATTCCCCATGGGTTATATTCTGATGTTTTGAATCATGGCCACAGAAACAATATGGCACATTTATAAACTACATCCTTTTTATTTGTCTATCTTTGTATTTATAATTATTTGCTTATTTCAGATATGTTTATACTACCTGACTTAGCGACATGCACACCTTTGAGTGATAGTATAGGTTGCCCCAAACTACCACCACCCGAAACCAAATAAAAAGCCCCATAATAAACAACAGTCATAAATGAAATTAGAAATTAAACCCCAAACAAATAATCCAAAACTAGATGATGGTGGTGTAAGGTGAATCAGGATCCTGCAGCTACCTCAAGGGAAGAATATTTTAAATGCTTCTTTGAAGAGTTTCATCTTCAACATCTTCTTAAAGATAGTGGAGGAGGAAGTCTGATGAATCTCAAACAGGATCTATTCCACAAAGATGGGGTCACAACCATGAAGCCTTAACTCCTGGTGGAGACCTTCTTCACCTCTCCTGGCTACTGTAAAAGCGAGGCCTGGGAAGAATGAACAGAAGTTCTTCAGGGGAGATGCTTCTGCAGGTAACAAAGATCCAAGCTGCTAAGGGCTTTGTATGTTAGTACCAAAACCTTGAATCTGGCTTGGAAAGGAACAGGAAGCCAACACAGGCAAGCCAGGACTGGCAAAACATGATCAAACTTATTCATTCTAGAAATCAAGTTGGCCTCTGCATTCTGCACCTGCGGCAGTTTCTGAATCAGTTTTAAGGGGAGCCCCATCTAGAGAGTGTTACAGTAGTTGTTCTTTGAGATCACTGGCACATGAACCAGCATTGTCAAGGCCGCCTTTCTCCTGATGAGGGGACTCAAAATGTTAAAACAAGTGATGCTAAAACCACAGTAAGTTACAGATTCAAAAGCAATTCAACTTTGAGTGATTTGGATTAAATAAATTTACTATACTTCTCACCATAATGTGGAAGACTATGTCCAGATAATGCAATTTCCTGGCATTTATTTATTTGACTTGTATGCTATCTGCACTCTGCAAGAGTCTCTGAAAGGCTTATCTGGACACCACTCGTGTGCCTAATTATTAACGGACAATTTTAAAACCCCTGATTTCCCTTCTTAGTTTTTTTACCTTTGAACTGGTTCTAGAACACACTCAGATATTCAAAGGAGAATACCTTCAACTAGAAAACTACTTTTTTAAAAGGAGAAGAATGTATGGTCATAGTGTACGAACACCCAGAAGGTTGCCACAAAGGCAGATGAGTTTAATTTAGTTAATTTAATGAATTTTGATTGTTATTTTATGTAATTGTTTTTGCTTTGTGCACAGCCCTGAGTGACCATTGGTCAAATGGGCTATATAAAAATCAAAACAAAAGATAAATAAGTATAAAATTGTCCATATACATTTTCTTTTTCTAATCCAGCCCAGAATTGTATTCCGGCAGCCGGCGGGTCTTCTTCTGTTGACGGTGTTGTGTCCTGTTGTCGTAACGTCCTGTCAGCTTCAACTTTGTTCTTAATCTTTATACCAAATATGTTTTTTGAATATTGCTTAAAAGATGCAGTGAAGAATGTCCTTGTTTAATTGTACATTTTCTTTTTGTAATCCAGCCCAGAATTGTATCCAGAAGCCTTGTTCTTAATCTTCATACCAAGCATGTTTTTCGAATAGTAACTCTTATATTGCTTAAAAGATGCAGTAAGGAATGTCCTTGTTTAATTCTACATTTTCTTTTCTTAATCTTTATACCAAATATGTTTTTTGAATATTGCTTAAAAGATGCAGTGAAGAATGTCCTTGTTTAATTCTACATTTTCTTTCTGAGTTAAGATGCTGCTGCCCAGTCACAGCTAGTGTATTTCTAAAAGCTGGATTTCTGAACTGATTTCTTTGAAGAGCAACAAACGTCCAAAAGGGAACAAAAGTTTATTCCTATTTATTTAAGTTTCTGAATACTATCAAACGGAATGCAAAATTAATTCAGTGTCAGATCATCAGTGCAACCTCCGTTAACTTCCATAGCCTAGTTTTAGAAGAGGTAGCCCTGTTAAGTCTGTGCCAGCACATCAGGCAAAATCGAAAGAAACCAAACAAGACCAGACAAAACGACGTGGCACCTTAAAGACTTAACTGTTGTATAACTATTATATAGTAGTTATATGATAGTCAGTCTTTAAGGTGCCACGTGGTTTTGTCTTGTCTCTCCCCCCCCTTTAGATTCAATAGTTTAGAACTCCGCAAAGGTTCTATCATATTTTATCTCTGTGCTCGCTTGCCTCGCTCTTCTTGCGCGCGCACGAATGAAGTCGAGACGAAATGGGGCGGGTCTTTCCCGCCTCCCCTGAACAACGAGCTTTTGCTCCGCTGGTTGCCAGGTGACGAGAGGAAAGCGCGCGCCCTGGGGAGAAAAAAATCCCGGGCTTGCGAGGAGGAGGTGCTGCTGTCGCCGCCTTCAGCCGGCCGACGCTGCTCTGCGTGGGGTCTTTTGCTTTTCTCGAAGGGTGAGCTTCAAGGAGGCGGGTCGCGGGTCGGGGCGGGGGGAGAAGAGAGTTCCAAGTATCCGCGAGGGCAAGGAAGGACACGGAACGACCAGTGACAATTTCCTCACTTGGTCTTAATGTCCGGCAGCCGGCGGGTCTTCTTCTTCTGTTGACGGTGTTGTGTCCTGTTGTCGTAACGTCCTGTCAGCTTCAACTTTGCTCTTTGGGGCTTCTTCGCGCCCCATCTTCCCCTGTTCTGCTGCCGAGCGTGGTTCATGCACGCGCGTTCCGCAGAACACTAAACATAACACGCGTGTTTAGTGTTACCAATGTGGATGTGCGCATTTGCCTTTTTTTGCTGGAAGCCTCCTTGGTAAGGCAGATGAGCTAAGGTGAGCTGTAGGAAACCTGTGCTCTCAACTCAAGGGAACGCTTCTGGCAAAAGCTCTTGTGCTACTTAAGATCATTTGAGTAACTGGGTAAACATTAGTGTGTATATATTAAAATGTATAAGTGGAACAAAACAGAATAAAGTTTCAGTTTCTTTCCTTTAGTCCAGCCTGGTGAGTGGAAATTATCCCCACCAACCTCCGCTGGTTTTATTGAATGTTTAGGAGGAGAATGCATTTGCAGTGCCTTGACTTTTAAAATACTATCACTGTTATCTGAATGGTTCCAATGGTTTATATACCCAGCTGGAATAAGGAGTGGGTAAGATGTTAAGATCTGCCCATCCTTGTAAAATAATCTCACACAGGGTGGCTGAGAATTCTGACCCCAAGAGAGGCCCGGAAAACAGGGCCTTCTCGCTGCTTGCTCTGCAATTAAGGAACAGCCTCACACTCAAAATCCGGGAAAACAATCAGCAGAAATCGGGCCTTCTCGCTGGTTGCTCCGTAATTAAGGAACAGCCTCACACTCAAAATCCGCCTGGCCCTTTCACTGGACACCTTTAAAAACCCACTAAAAACCTGGTTCTTTAGGCAAGCCTTTCCAGATTAAAAACAACAACAACAACAACACATCCTGATGCTATAATGAATCAGGGAGTGGGAACTTAACATCTAACCTACCACTGTGCTTTTCATGTTTATTTTACTGTATTATGTTTTTTCGTTGTATTTTATGTTATTTTTATTTTGCACATTTATATTTTATGGATGTTGTTGAGTTCTTTGCTATTATGTTATTGTTACTGTTTAGTTGTTGTAAACTGTCCTGAGTGGCCTTGGCTGCCAGATGGGCGATATAGAAATCAGTCAATCAATAAAATAAATAAATAAGATGTTTTGGTATTTTGAAGCATTGCGTAGTCATTTTGATAGTCTCTTTAATAAAGCTTTTATAGACTCCAGCTACATAGTTTAAAAGTGTGCTGCTTAGTGAACTGCTGTCTCCCCATCCCAGCTGTTTTAGAGTTAAAGTTATTTCAGTGGAACTTGCTTCTCTCCAAGCAGACATCCATTTTTTTCTGAATAAGGGTACACCTGCACTTGCAGAATTGGGTCACTTTTGGTGCTATTCGTTTGCGGCGTCCACACATGTTTTGACTTAGAGTGATCCACCCTATTCCTTTTTAGAGCTGCCTGGCTCCTTTTTGGCCCAGCAGTAAGATTGCAGGGTTTTTGGTGCAATTTGGAGTGCTCCCAATTAGCCTCCTCAGTAGCCCTTGCAGATGGTTAGTCCACACCAAAATAGAGCTGTGGGCAGTGTTATCTGAGGCACAACTGTGTGACGTATTTGGTAGTTTGTGGCATTGATAAAGATTATAATTTACTCTACCCTTTAATATATTTTCCTATTGATGCAGTACTCTTGGAGAACCCCTGTCCTCTATATTAATTTACTCTACCCTTTAACATTTTAAAATATATTTTCCTATTGATGCAGTACTCTTCCAGATAAACAAGATACATTAGAAGTATTATGCACACCATGCTAGGTAGATACATTGTTGTGTCACTATGTCACTTTATTTAACAACAACAAAAAAGGAACGTTTTGAATGGTGACTGTGGGAAAAAGTGGGGAAGGGGGCGGGAAGGGGAGTGTAATTGATTTAAAGGAGGTCCAACTGGAGTGATCCAAAGACCTGCCTGGATCCTTCTCACAGTAGAGAAAAAACTGATCCATGTGAATGGAAGAATTGCTCAATTGAGGGATGAAATAGATTGCAATGAAGATAAGAATCTTTTAAGCGTGAACCAGACCACTCCAACTACCCCCACTATAATGGGGTGATTTATGATTGATTTGAAGTATATCTGGAAGTTTTTCTTGATGCAAAGCATAAGATTGCTACTGATAATGAGCCTCTGCTTCTGGCCTTTTTACATTGATGCTATGTAGTTGCATTGGCTCCAAATTGTCTGTTGTCCTTATCTTTAAAGCCAGACATTGTTTGGGATCTGGGGGTGGGAGATCTCCTCCTGCATAAACCTTTCCATCACTAGTGTACATGAAAGCCAATATTCTGCATCATTGCAGGCTACAAAATGCAAAGAACAGAGACCTTCTTGGTAACAGCATGTGGACTACAGAGTACAGTGCCAGGGAGAACTGGCAATTTGCTTTACTTAACACATTTGGGGAAAAGGCTGAAGCAATTTTATTCCAGCATGCTTTTAATGGCATTGTTCCCAGGCTTCAGTGTTTGTTTCTTCATTAATTAAATATTCTTTCCGCCCGGGAATTCAGGGTATTGAAAATGGCTCTCTACCACCCTGCTTTATCCTCACCATTCCTCTTGAGAAGAGTAATAGTTGACATTGAGAGAGGGAATGAGAAAGCAAGATGCCCAAGGCCAAGCATTTAAATTAATGGTGGAGTGGAGATTTGAACCCGCAACCCCAAAATTGCAGTTCAGTACTCTTATCCACCAGACCATCCTGATTCTTCTTGCTGACTTTTCTTGTTTGCTTTGATTCAATTCTTCTGTTTTATACTATTGATATATGAATTGAAGTTTACCCTAGGGTCCAGTGTGTAGCAGATGATGTGAGAAGTATATTTTATGCCATTATTAACGTGTTTAGTATATGTGTATGCTTTTAGTAATTTCTGTTTAATTAAGTTGGATTTTCCTCACCTTTACGCTTGTCAAAGTTTAATGTTTCTCTAGTAAACAAACCACATCACTCAATTAAAAAGTAATGCAAACAACAGAAGAACATTTTTCAGAATCAGAAATGTGTATACCATTATGCTGACTTTACCAGTTAAGCACATCAGTTAGCTATTAAATGATCTCTAGCTTATTAACTAAGATTCATTCTTTTGGCCCCCTTTACTGTATCTCAATAGATATAAAACAACATTTTTTGCGTCTTTATCATTTACATGTATAATTAATGTGCTTCATAAATCAGATGCTGTAGGTCTCTTTATTATGTGCTGTCAAGTTGGAACTGACTTAGAGTAACACTCACAGGGCTTTCAAGGTAAGTGAGATCTTTAAGGAGTGGTCTTATCAGTTCCACTTCCCCAGTAAGCTTGCATGGCTCAGCTAGGATTTGAGCCCAGGGCTTCCGAGTCCTAGTCTGTCACTTTATACTGCTGCAGTGGGTAACCTTTTGAGCTAATTGCTCTATATTTAAAAATATCCAAACCCAGTTCATCAGTAAACCTATTTTATACTAAAAGTTATCAGCTATCAGAAATCTTTTAACAATGGGATTGGGCAATAGAACTTTAGATTGGTTCTTTCCTGATGCTTGTTCTGTAACAACATATGTGTTTGGTATAACTTTCAACTTGCAATCATAACCAATCTTACTAAGTCCCACTGCCTCATGTGTGGTTTTCTTCCAAGTAAGCAGAATGCTGCAGTTCCTCTTGTTCCCTTTTGTAGTAAATTTGCTTGATTTATTTTCTTTCATGTTGGCAGTGAGAAATTATTGCTACAAAAATAAAGTAGTGGTTCTTCTATACTTGATTTGTACTACTTAGATATGGAGAAGTATATTAGCATCTTAATTTAAAAATGAAAATTTAAAAACAAAATAAAATGTCCCAACAAAGATTCAGATCCACTTTAATAGTTTTAAGGGTGTAGCTGTGTTAGTCTGTTGTGGCAAAACCAATGAAAAGTCTTGTGGTACCTTAAACGTTATGTTGTTGTGGCATAAAGCCTATGCCATAGTATATCGGTCTTTAAAGCGCTTTCTTGGTTGTGTTCAGTGGATTCATTCAAGGATTTATGAGATGTTGAATAAAAAAGATGGGGTTAAAGTGGCCTACTTGAGCCCCTAATAACCTAAAACACCCTGTCCATGGAGTTAGGATTGTAAAAATAGGATGTGTTGTGTTAGTAAGCTTCAGAAGGGAAAAGTAAAGACATGGGAAAAGAGTCAGTGTAATGTCTAGAGGGTTAGATGCCGACTTGGAGATAGAGATACAAGTTACCATTGAGCTGTGAAACTTTCTGTCAGCTTGATCTACCTCATCTGCTTGTTGAAAGAATAAGTGCGAAAGAAGAGAGTCATGCACGATTGAACCCACTGAGGGAAAAGTGGACTATGAAAATAAGTGCTACTGATATTGACAATTTTCTGAAAGCTTTTCCCTTGTTGTCCTGTAATAAGGTACTCAAGGCTGAAGCCAACATCTGACCTGAGCTCTTTAATGCAATTTAGAATTTTATGTAGGTTTTCCAGGCCTCTGGGTTCTCCTGGTAGCCCCCAGAATCATTCCCCACTTAGGCATTTTTGGCTACCAGCCTGACCAGAAGGACGAAACTGTCAGGTTGTAGAAAAGATGCTGTTCTACTGCTTTTGTGTTAGCTCTTTCCCAACCCAGTTTGCAGGATTTTCTTTTTCACCATCTTCTTCGGGTAAAACCTAGCAGAACTGATTGTACTGATCTGTTGCTGCTTGTCCTTCCAGTGATATTAAATTGGTCTGTCTGGAAAGAAGCAGCAGAGTTGTATTTAGTCTCTAATATGAAAATTTAGGTCCCATTTCCAATTGTACTAAGATGGGACTATGATCTGCAAATGTGTTAGGCAAAATGTCTATTTCCAA